CCCCCCCCCCCCCCTCGGCTTATGGGCAGCAGCCGCCACTTGTGACCAGTCTGAACGGAGAGCTGGCAGCAGCCGAGCCAACGGAGAGCTGGCAGCAGCCACCGCTCCTGACCAGTCCGAACGGAGAGCTGGCAGCAGCCGAGCCAACGGAGAGCTGGCGGCAGCCGCCGCTCCTGACCAGTCCGACCGGAGAGCTGGCAGCAGCCGCCGGTTCTGAACAAAACGAACGGAGAGCTGGCCGCCGCTCCTGACCAGTCCGAACGGGGAGCTGTCTGCAGCTCCTGACTAGCCCAAACGGGGAGCTGTCTGCCGCTCCTGACTGTCCGAACGGGAAGCTGTCTGCCGCTCCTGACCAGTCCGAACGGAGGGCTGGCAGCAGCCTCCTCTTCTGAACAAAACAAACGGAGAGCTGGCCGCCGCTCCCGACTAGTCCGCACGGGGAGCTGTCTGCAGCTCCTGACTAGTCCGAACGGAGAGCTGGCCGCATGCCGCGTGGCGTGACTGCCGTTATCTTTTGGCGTCCGTGGCATTCGCCCCGGCCGCCATAGATCGGTTGAAGGGCGTTTTCCCCATGGAGTTCTTACGAACCTCTGAATTGATTTTTCCATGTAATTGCCGCACCGCTAGGCATGACAGACGCTGGAACTCCAACAGTTACGTCAACGTCACGAGCAGCGTCACCGGCTATGAAAACCCAGGAACTAGCACTAGTTTCTCGGTGTCCGGTTATCACGGACAGTACGCCGTCATGCTGTTTGCTGTTGGGTGCAGGCAGATGGCATGATGGCTACAAATAAGGCCGGGCCCCGAGTCCAGACGGGGCGAATGTAATGCGCAAAATGACCACTGCTGTTGGCGCGCTGCAAACGCTCCAAAAACAGTCAACGGCATCCGTGGTAGTAAAAAAAATTGTCTTTCGGATTTGTAATAACGTGTCTCATGCATCACAACTTCTCCGTTCTGCCGCAGTATGCAGCGGAATCCACCGCGGCACCTTGCGGGCAGCGGCGGCTTGATGACAATGTCATTAGACAGGCTTTTGGAGCCGCCTTGATGGCCTGCAGTGAGTGATAACGCGCCCGCGGCGGCCGTCGAAGCAATGTCACAAACCGCGATGTTCTCCGAGCTGAAACGTCCCATGAAGTCGCCAACCAACCGCCGGGAAGAGCCCGCTGACGCGCTTAGGCCGGCCAGCCGTTGAATGCTCGCGAACGGGGCGACGGCAGGATACACGCTCGCCGGTCCAGCAACAGCATCCGTGGCGCTGCTGCGCGACGGCGTGGGAGAGACGTCTGACGTGAGGTGCCGCCCGAGCCGGCGGCGTTGTAATTGGCCGCGGCAGGTGGACGCTGCGGCGGCGGCGGCGGCGGCGATGCCCGCTCGCTGCGTCGCCGGACGCACTCGTCATCAGCCGTCCGCGGCCGTCGCCTCGTTAGCCAGCTGGCAATTAGCGGCGTGGGTGCCCGCTAACTGTGGCGGCGGCGGCGGCGGCCCGGGGCTAGCACCGCTGCAGCCGGCGGGCCGAGGCTGACTCTGAGCCTGGCGCCGCTGCAGCCGGCGGGCCGAGGCGGACTGCGGGCCTGGCGCCGCGGCAGCCGGCGGCCGAGGCGGACTGCGGGCCTGGCGCCGCGGCAGCCGGCGGGCCGAGGCGGACTGCGGGCCTGGCGCCGCGGCAGCCGGCGGGCCGAGGCGGACTGCGGGCCTGGCGCCGCCGCAGCCGGCGGACCGAGGCGGACTTTTGAGTCTGGCGCCGCTGCAGCCGGTGCGCCGAAGCGGGCTCTGGGCCCGGCGCCGCACCAGACAGCAGCGACGAGGGGCGCCGCTGCACCCGACGGGCCGAGTTGGACTCTGAGTTTGGCGCCGCTGCAGACAGCTGGGACCAGACGAGCCTCTGAGCGTGAGATGCGCACCGAGGCAACGGTGGTGGTGGCTCAGTGAGCCATGATCAGCCGTGCCCGTCCGTACACTGTGTGACAGCTGCCGTAGGATTTGACTGCTGTGTCAAGTCACCGCAAGGGAATGTGGATGTATGGCGGCGATGGCAGCGACACCGTGCGATGGCCATCGTGATAGCAGTCGCGCTGCTGTGTGGCACTCCACCTTTCTGGAACGTCCGAATGGCTTTTTGTTTGTCTGAGAGTTAACACCATCCCCAGGGATGTAGCCACTTCTCTGGGACGACCTGTGCTCTCCAGTTTGACTGCAGCTCATCTCTCCCCAAGAACTGGTGCGGGATGTAGGCGGAGAGAAGAGCCCAGGTCGGACAGGACCGGGCTGGCCCGGGGAGCAGCCGGCTGTCCGGGCCCTGCCGGGCCTGCCCGGAGGGGCTCAGTCTCGTGACAGCGGGACTATCCGTCGCACCCTGTCGTCACGTGCTGCAAGCTCAGCCCATCGGCGGCGGCCCGCCAGCTCGCCGGCACGGCGGCCGCCGCCGGTGGTGGCGCCTCCAGACAAAAGACGTCCGTGGTTCGGTCCTTGTGCACGGTCGCCGACTCCGGGTGGATTGGCTGGGCGGGAACCGGGGAGCCAGCTCACGCTGGCTATCAGGCCTGATCGGTGTCCTGGGTGTAGCTCTGGTATTTGAGGTGCACACCTGAGGCCCTTTCTTCGTAAGTTAAGGGAAACCCGTTCACAGCGCGCGGTAAGTCCGTTGGGTGGTGACGTCATTTATTGGAATTCCTTCGCCGAAGCCGATGCCTTTCTTCGCCGGGTACGAGAAAGTCGGTAAATTGGTTACGTGTACGGAACAACTCATCTGCGGCCTATGCTCATGCCAATCGACCACATCGGCCACATCTTGCGGTGCTTTAGGAATACTGTTGCAAAGCGCGTCGTACACAAATTAACAGACTATTTCAGAGTGTTTAAGTGAACAGCACGCATTATTAGTTATTTGCAAAACCGGCACAAAGTTTGGTATTGCAATTTTTAAGCAGCAAACAAAAGATTATCAACAGTGACCTACAGTTTGCCAATTTTCAGCCAGGAACCAGAGGATATTACGTGGTACAGTGGATATGACGTAGATATTACGCGTTTCGTGGCATCCTGCATTCCTATGTCCTTTGCTCAAATCAGTGAAAGTTCATCTACTATCTATAAAATGCAGGGGCTGGTCATATTTTGCTTTGTCAAATGTCACAAAAATGAACTAGTATATATCTGACCCCTCATTCACTACTTGCACTGCTGTAAGCACGCTATTGCAACAATGGCATGCTGAAGATGTGCAGCCTCAATATATGCAGTCATGTATTTATTTCATTTGGCCTCAGTAGCTGAGGCTGCGTGAAATTAACAGCAAAAGTGGCAAGATCGTCTCGTCTCATGTTTGGATTGTATGTCGCGGAATGTGACCTCCCGAGGACTGTCGGGTTTAGTGCGGTCTAGTCTACATTGCACACGATATAACTCATGGGTCTGGGTCGTAGGTGCCAAGTAGAATGTGCTAGCCTGGAGCTGAGAAACTTGAGAGAGCAGGTTTTGATCACAGGTCACAGAAAAGATATTGTTTGCTGCCCTGTACCTGCTAGGCTTAAACCAGACTGGCTTTTAGGCTAATATATATATATATATATATATATATATATATATATATATATATATGTCTCTCTCTTTATATAAACGAATCAGAAGACGATGGACCATAGCTGAATCGAATCTTTGATTTCGCAAGCCGCGTGAGGCATGAGCGACATGATCAAACGCAAGCGATGGGTCTGAACTGGGCGAAATCAAAGCATTTGGACCGGCTATGAGTCATGAGCTGAATCGGACCCCAAAATCTGTGAACTGGTGCTGAGCCGGCTCGAAAAATTGAGTCGGAGCCCAAGTCGGATTAGCATGCCACACGGTAAGCATCGAACTTCTCTAGCATGGAGGCATCCGCGTGCCCCTCGTTTTTACAGGTCGCCTGATCGGCATGCCTTGTAGCAAACCGAGCAATGCTGAGATCTGGCGTCTTTTTCCATGAAGAACTGGGCTCTCGTTATTATCTGGGCTGCCACCGCCTATAACTCTGGGACTGCGGTCGCGATGTTTCCGCGATGTTTTTTTTTTCTTTCTGTGGGCTGCGATGTTTCTCATGTTTCTCAGGGGCATGTGGTGAACCCTGTCGTGACTGTCCGCGTGCCGTGACTGCTGCTCCATGTCGTGACTGTTTGCCTGTCGTGGCTGCTGCCCCTTGTCGTGACTGTTTGCGTGCTCCCTGTCGTGACCGTTCCGTGCCGTGATCGCCCCCAGTCGTGACCGTCCGCTTTCATGACTGTTGCTGCCTGTCGTGACTGTTTGCGTGCCGTGACTGCTGCCCCTTGTCGTGACTGTTTGCCTGTCGTGACTGCTACTCCCTGTCGTGACCGTCGGCGTGTGTGACTGTTCGCCTGTCGTGACTGCTGCCCTTTGTCGTGACTGCTTGCCGTTCGTGACTGCTACTCCCTGTCGTGACCGTTCCGTGCCGTGATCGCCCCCAGTCGTGACCGTCCGCTTTCGTGACTGTTGCTGCCTGTCGTGACTGTTTGCGTGCCGTGACTGCTGCCCCTTGTCGTGACTGTTTGCCTGTCGTGACTGCTACTCCCTGTCGTGACCGTCGGCGTGTGTGACTGTTCGCCTGTCGTGACTGCTGCCCTTTGTCGTGACTGCTTGCCGTTCGTGACTGCTGCTCCCTGTCGTCATCGTCCCGTGCCGTGATTGCCCCCAGTCGGGACCGTCCCCTGTCGTGACTGTTTGCGTGTCGTGACTGCTGCCCCTTGTCGTGATTGTTTGCTTGTCGTGACTGTTGCTCCTTGTCGTGACTGTCCGCCTGTCGTGACTGTTGCTCCCTGTCGTGGCCGTCTCGTGTCGTAACTGTCCCCAGTCGTCACCGTCCCCTGCCGTGACCATTGCTCCTTGTCGTGACCGTCCGCCTGTCGTGACTGTTGCCCCCTGTCGTCAGTGTTAACGTGCCGTGATTGCCCCCAGTCGTAACCGTCCCCTGTCATGACTGTCCCTGTCGGCGCCGGCAGGCACCTGGTGATGAGCGGCGGCGCTGAGGGTCTGCGTCCCGAGCAGTGGGAGCTGGTGACGGTGGCGCTGCACCGAGCGCTGGCGCTCACCCTGCGCCCCCTCCACCGGCTCATGGCCGCCTTCCACGCCGATTCAGATAACTTCTACGGCGACATTGGTCAGGTCAAGGTGGCCGCGCGCCGCGACTGCACCGGTCGCGAGAGCGACCGGCTGCGTCAGCTGGCGCATCAGGTCAGTGGATCCGGTGATCGATAGAGCGACCTGCTGCATCAGCTGGCGCATCAGGTCAGTGGATCCGGTGGCCGATAGAGCGGTCTACTGCGTCAGCTGGCGCATCAGGTCATTGGGTCCGGGGTCTACTGCATCAGCTGCGCATCAGGTCAGTGGATCCGGTGGCCGATAGAGCGGTCTACTGCGTCAGCTGGCGCATCAGGGTCATTGGATCCGGTGACCGATAGAACGGCCTACTGCGTCAGCTGGCGCATCAGGTCAGTGGATCCGGTGGCCGATAGAGTGGTCTACTGCATCAGCTGGCGCATCAGGTCAGTGGATCCGGTGGCCGATAGAGCGGTCTACTGCGTTAGCTGGCGCATCAGGTCGGTGGATCCGGTGACCGATAGAGCGGCCTACTGCGCTAGCTGGCCGTCTGCTCACAGCAGTACCCATTGAACTAGTAATCACAGGATGTCGCACGGTCAAATCGCTAAATCAGTGAAGCATCCGTGCAGTGGGAAATATGTTTTAGAGAGGGGGCGGGGGGGGGGGGGGTACGACACCTTCGGAAGTCGACATTGCTCGGCGAGCGAGCGCTCCCTTTCAACAGCGGCCGTGCCACCCCGCGATCGTTTGCTGGCTGGTGTGGTTTGCTGGCGATCGTGGCGAACGGCGGGGGCGTAATCGCCGCTGATCTCGGTGGAGCCTCGTCCTCAGTCACTTTTGTTTGGACAGGTGCCACTTGATTTGTGTGTTTTAAGGTGACAACAAAGCAGAAATGAGCTCCCATGACATTTACGGCGTGTTTTGCATCTCAGATGAGCGCGCGCGCCTGACTGTGTGGGGCTATAGCTAGCAACGTTACTGGCTGCTACTGGCTGATTGGCTAGTCCACGTCGGGTTCGGTTGTTGATAGATGCGCCAGGAATGGTGTGGTATCAACTTTTGGCTATGATGTTGGTTAAAAAAAAACAAAAGGATAGTGTAGCCACCCCCGTCCCCCCCCCCCCCGTCGTCCCCCCCCACCCCCATTCCACCCCCTCCACTACCAGTGAAAGTTTTTGGAGAGACAGAAACATCCCGCATGACTCCTGAATGCGCCTGTCAAAGTCCGGTTGTGGCCTGTTGTCAGGCAGTGCTGCCGCAATAGCGGTCATCTTTCTATCGCCTGTGCCGTATTCTGGCTGAGTTATGTCCATCCGGCTGTGCGGGGCCGTTTTCTGGTAACGGTGTGGGTGACTGTCCCCACTCCGCTGGTCCTGACGAGGACCGGTCCGGCGTAGGCCCGGCGGAACGGCGGCTGCCTTCCGTCACCGGGCCGCCGCCGTTTATGCTAATCCCACTCATAGATTTGTGGCAAATGACCGCGTTTACATAGCTTCCAGCGGTCTCTTTGCTCTTTAGTTATGGCCCCTTACTAATTACACCGACCGCAGCCATTGTATTGCAACCCGCTGTGGCTAGGCCCTCTGGCTGCCGTGCGCGCCGACTCCAGTAGCGAGAACCGGCCGCCCGCTCTTCCGAATCCGCTCACTGTCTGCCCTAGCTTCCGAATCTCACGACTGTCTGCCATAGCTTCCGTATCCCACGACTGTCTGTCCTAGCTCCCGTATCCCACGACTCTCTGCCCTAGGTTCCGTATCTTACGACTGTCTGCCCTAGCTTTCCGTATCTTACAACTGTCTGCCGTAGCTTCCGTACCCGCCGACTGTCCGCCCTAGCTTCCGTATCTCACGACTGTCTTCCCTAGCTTCCGTATCCGCCGACTGTCTGCCCTAGTCTCCGTACTTCACGACTGTCTGCCCTAGCCTCTGTTTTTCACGATGGTCTGCCCTAGCTTCCGTATCTCATGACCGTCTGCCCTATCCTCCATATCTCATGACTGTCTGCCCTAGCTTCCGCATCTCACGACTGTCTGCCCTAGCTCCCCTATCCCACGGCTGTCCGCCCTAGTTTCTGTGTAGCGTTGTTTCGACGCTACGGCGACGCTTGCAACGGCCGACTTGATGCGTCGCTCATGTCCTGCCCGCCAGCTGGGGTCGGACCACCGTCCTGTGTCTGGCCGAGGTCGGGCCACCGTCCTGTGCCTGGCCGGGGTCGGACCAACGTCCTGTGGCTGACAGGGGTCGGACCAACGTCCTCTAATTAACCGGGGTTCGAGTGGGATCATTGGCCGCGCCCCCTGTAGCCTGCTACTGCCAGTGTATGAGATTCGCGATCCTAACGGCCACAGGCCTGCTGTAAAGTGTACCTGCGATAAAGTTGTCGCGCAGTACCCTCCGCAGCATGACGTGAGCGATGGTCGCGTAGACAGCAATTGTTCCCGCGGCCTTATTTTGTAAAGTTACTTTTTGGTTTCTTGTGTATTGTCTTATTGGCGCACGTGTTTATGTGCGCACGCGTGTGTGCGTGCGTGTGTGCGTGCGTGCGTGCGTGCGTGCGTGGGTGGGTGCGTACGTGTGTGCGTGTGCGCGCGCGAACGTGTCGGCTACACGACGGTGAAGAAGAGGATGTTGCCCTGGCTGTGCCGCCTGGTGGCGCGACTTCCCCTTCGGTCCGACCGCTTGGGTTCGCGTCGAGTGGCTGGGGCCGTCGGGCTCCAGGGCGAAACGCTGGATTCCCGTTCGAAAGGTCGGGAGTTCCAGACAGACCACCACGTGCGTTTCGGTCTCCTCGCCGTGCCCGCGATCGCGTGAGAGATTACGGCGCCTCTGACCCCAGCCGCTGGCCCGCTGACCCGACCGAACGGCGTTGTGATGAGCCGCGGACTGCCATGGCGGGCGGTGCGTCCATGCTGGTGACGACCAGCGGCCGCCGACGCTGTGTGACGCTGTGTGACGCGCTCACTGTCACGGCCCGGCCAGGTGCTCCTGCTGGACGACCAGCGGCCGCCAACGCTGTGTGACGCTGTGTGATGCTGTGGGACGCTGTGTGACACTGTGTGACTGAGCGGCGTTGTGATGAGCCGCGGACTGCTGTGGCGGGCTGTGCGTCCGTGCCGGTGACGACCAGCGGCCGCCGACGCTGTGTGGTGCTGTGTGACGCGCTCACTGCCGCGGCCCGGCCAGGTGCTCCTGCTGGACGACCAGCGGCCGCTGACGCTGTGTGGTGCTGTGTGACGCTGTGGGACGCGCTCACTGCCGCGGCCCGGCCAGGTGTTCCTGCTGGACGACCAGCGGCCGCCAACGCTGTGTGACGCTGTGTGATGCGCTCACTGCTGCGGCCCGGCCAGGTGTTCCTGTTGGACGACCAGCGGCCGCCGACGCTGTGTGGTGCTGTGTGACGCTGTGTGACGCGCTCACTGCCGCGGCCCGGCCAGGTGTTCCTGCTGGACGACCAGCGGCCACTGGCGCTGGAGACGAGCGAGCACCCGGAGGCCGAGGATCGCTCGTACGTGTTCCTGCTGTACGCGCCCGGCGGCGGCGAAGAGAGTCTGGTGCGCGTGCCGTTTCGTCACCTGGTGGTCGGCCTGCTGGCGCACCAGATTCTGCTGCAGACGGTCGGCGCCCTCCTGCTGCAAGGCACGCGTCACGTGGTGCCCAGGTCAGCCGCTCACCCTCCCGTCAGGCGCGTCCTTGGTGTTGAATATTGTCAAGCGGGTCGACGCCAGACGGCATGCGCGTACGACAATCATCGTCAGAAGTCACTGAAATGTCGGCTCGCAATGCGCGTGCCCACTCATCCACCGATAGGGCAGCTGCTGAGGCCGAGAGAGTGACAGGATTTGCATCGTGCTGACGATCCGCCCTGCGTTCGGCTGCGTGTATCACGACAGGCCATGTCCATTGAAACGCACGCTCTGTAATGTGTGTGTATTTGGAGAAGCTTTTCGTACCTTCAAGCGGCGCAACGTAACCGAATATGAAGAGATGGTTTTATAGCAGCTCTTAAGTTATTATGATCAGGTCAGATGATGAGTGCGTAGTGAGGCATTTAAACACGACGTGTCTGTTAAAACTTGTAACGGTTTTGGCCCATCAGCAAATCCTGATTACGGTAAGCTACACATCAGGTGCAAAACAATGTGTGCCAGCAAAAGACACCACTGTGCATGTGTGTCTGTGTTGTAGTCTGGTGAACGTGCTGGTGGCGTCGGGTCCGCCGGCGGCGGCGGGGGCCTCTGATGCGCTGCCGGGCTTCCTGAGCCAGCTGTCGGAGAGACACGTGCACACGCTGCTGGACGGACTGGCCGGCTCGCAGCGCGCCGCGCTCCACTTCGACGCGCGGCCCGGCCTCAAGTTCCTCGTGCAGAAGGTGTCGGGCGCGGAGCGGGCGGCTAACCTGTACAAGCAAGCGGGCGCCAGCTGGACGCTGCGCGCCGTCTCGCTGCTGGAGCTGGGGCTGGCGGCGCTGCGTCAGCCGGCGCCGGCGCCGGGCGCCGACTACCTGGCGGCGCTGCGCCGCCTGCTGGCCGACATCAGCCGCATGTACAGTCAGCTGGCGGCGGTCGGCGCCGGCCCTGCCGACGGCCGCCCGGCCGAGCAGCCGGTGCTCCTGCTGTTGGCCGAGAGTGACGAGCTGCCCGAGCTGGGGGGCGAGCCGGCCACGCCGGCGGCGGCGCGGCCGGGCCCGCCGGCCGGGCCGCCGCGGCCCTTCGGGTTCGCCGATCTGGCCCGCACGCCGGAGCCGGAGTCGGAGCCGGAGCCGGAGCCAGAGCCGGAGCCGGAGCCGGAGCCCGAGGACTCGTCCGAGGAGGAGGGCGAGGAGGCGGCGGCCGGCCGGGACGACTCGGGCCTGGCCGACTCCGACGACCAGGTGTTCAGTGTGGTGACCGAGCGCCAGGTGGGCGACCTCATCAGCGAGTACAAGCGGCGCAAGCCGGCGCGCGCCATGCCGACGGCAGCGGCGCCGGCGCCGGCCGGTCGCCGCAATCCGTTCCTGGCGGCGCCGCGGCCGGCCGAGCCTCTGCCGCCGGAGATCGAGCAGCAGCGCCGCTCCAGCCTGATGCAGGTGGGTGCCGGTCGCGCGACGACGGACTCGGGCTCACTGGACAGGCTGACGTCGGCCGGCTCAGAGCGGGCCCCGGCCGGCTCAGAGCGGGCCCCGGCCGGCTCAGAGCGGGCCCCGGCCGGCTCAGAGCGGGCCCCGGCCGGCTCAGAGCGGGCCCCAGTCGGCTCAGAGTGGGCCCCGGCCGGCTCAGAGTGGGCCCCGGCCGACTCAGAGTGGGCCCCGGCCGGCTCAGAGTGGGCCCCGGCCGACTCAGAGTGGGCCCCGGCCGGCTCAGAGCGGGCCCCGGCCGGCTCAGAGTGGGCCCCGGCCGGCTCAGAGCGGGCCCCGGCCGGCTCAGGGCGGACCCCGGCCGATGTTCGTGAAGTACGTAAACACAGGCTGCGCCCACGTCTTGGAGGTCCCCATGCGAATAGCTTGGGGATCTGCAAGATCAGAGGTGGGATCGATGGCTGTAGTCGGAGGTGGATCAGAGCCACGCGACGAAGGTCTCTTCAAATACATTGTGCGAGGGACTCGCACTGCGAGTGATGTTCCTCCAAGTTATGCTTGGCCACTACTCATAACGGTGTTTAGTTGATGGCGTTCCATTGGTCACCCAGCGGTGACAGTCCTGGGAGGAACCATTTGCGGAAAGAAGCTACGCGCGGCTGGTCTTTCCGCCGGCACTTGAATATGCAGCACCGGAAGTCAAGGTGTGAGACTGTGCACTATCCCTTCTGATGTCGCTTTATATGTACATAATTACGATTATAGCAGTTGTGTTTGCGCGTTGTATGAGAGACCGCAAAGCACAGGCTCCTTTAATGAGCAAGACAGGGCTGTATAATGCGCCTGGGGGACCCACACCCGCGGTTGGTCCGGAAGCACCTGGGAACCAGAGGCGAGTTAACATGATGTGGAGCTGCGTATACAGAAGTCCCCCGTGGCGCCGCCACGGCAGCCGACACAGATAGCAGCGCAATAGCGGTACTCTCAGCATGGGTGGTGTCACGGGCTTGAAGCAAGGCCCGGCTGACTGTTCCTTCATGCTTGTGCGTGACGTGTCGGCGAGGTAATGTGCCTCTAACCTCATCACTTACATAGTGTGCTTGGCGGTGGCTGCTGAGCTGCGGTGGCAGGTCTGTAAAGCCAGTTTACACATTGGCGTAGGAAGTGGAGGTAGGTGAGCTGTGGCCCAGACACTTCTCAAATCGGATGTGCGAGAAACAGTTCGCAAGGCTCTCGCAAAGTGTGACGATGATATTTAACCGGGAAACGGGCAATGATACCGTTTCCGAAACCGTTCATGTCTGCTGGGGCCTAACCGAGAGATTAGGCCATACTGCTCCCAATAGCCCACACTACAAGTGTAGGCTAGACACGCGGGGCTCGAAGACTACGGGAAATCTGGAGACGGCGCTCGGTCTGCGGGTCACAGGCGTGACATTTTAGCGAAGACCTCACCGGATGGAGACAGAGACTGTTGTCATTGCTAGTGGATTCGGAGGTGACTTCATTGCTTATGTACATACGCAGTGCCTCTGGGCACCAGGCAGGAAACCACACAACACAGGTGTGGCGTCTGCCCGCAGTGTTCGTTGTTTGTTAAAGCCACCGCGGGTGTAGATTGGGAGCCATCTGACCCGGAGCGTCTGGCCACAGGACAGCGAGGCGCACCGCAAGGTGTGGACGGACATGCTGGTCTCCACGCTGGGGCTGGTGGCGCAGCAGGAGGACGCCACCTTCCGGCTCCTGCTGCCGGTCGTGCACCCGAGCGTGCGTGAGCTGACGGCGCGCGCCGGCGAGCCGGCGCTGCGCCGGGCGCTGGCGCGGCTGTACGAGCGCATCGGCGCCGTCTACGGCTTCGCCTCCGAGTAGGCGCAGCGCACGCGCCGCCGGCTGGCCGAGCTGGGCGGAGGAGCGACCCGCACGCCGTGCTTGTCTGTCGCGGGCGCCGCGGCGCCCTGCCGGCGGCGTGTGTCAGCCGCCTGCCTTTGTTCTGGATCGCCGCGCGCCGCCGCCGTGTTTACTCGCTCTCGGTCAGCATTGCCGGCCGCGTCCGGAAGCCGTTCGCCGTCGCTTCCGCCGTTCGCCGGCTCTGCCCAGTCACTGTCGCGGTCGCCGCCGTCTCGCAGTGTTGCGCTATGCATGGGTGTTGTCTGCTGCGCGGTATTCTGAGGTGTGCCGTCGCTCCGTCTCCGTGTTGTGTTGTGTGAGGCGTTGGAAAGACCCGCCGCACTTCTGCGCAGGCTGGCAGCACGCGTCCTGTGGATGACGTGTGTTCAAGCTGGCGGCCATGTCGCGCTCAAGTGACGCGGAAGGGACGCCCGGCGAGGGTGGGGGGGGGGGGGGGGGGGCTGCTCTCACCGTCGCATCGGTGACTACTGGAGCAGACTTCTTCAAATCGCAAACGGCTGGGACATCTGATGGTTTCTGGGCTGCCTTGCTGCAGCTGGCACGGGAGATCTTTGTACATGAAATCATCGCCAGCATAATCTTGTGGTCAACTAGCTTTCGTATGGAACTATTACATCTGTTTTAGATTACATGTTGTTCTCATCTCTCGCGTTACGCCCTCCACTGCAATTTCAGCGCCATTGGCATTTTCAACACCCATGCACAGAACATGGGTATTGAAAATGTCTGGTCTTACGGTGCCTGTGGATGCCGTTGAGCGTGCTATGCTGAATGTCGCAGTCATCGTTTGCTGTGCAATGCTGGAACCCATTACATTCGGACAGAATGGATCTTTGTGTATTTTATACAAACAAATGAACAGTTGATCGACAAAGCGCGACGCACGCATACTCGCACATACACGCACATGCACGCATTCTGGATAAATACGCCCGTATGTACACGCTGGGAGTCTATCGTATGCATATCCTCTGTATGATTCTGTACACGAGTGCATGGTTCTTTGGACTGGCTGCAGCCGTCGGCGCAGCGCGAGAGGAACTGAATGCCACGACTGATCGGGAGCAACAATAACAATGCGCCCTGCCACACACAAAATTTATTTAGTGTTTCTCAGCTACGTGAAAAACGCAACATTCCCCTAGGGCTCGGGCTGCGTGACCCGGGCACGTGCGAGGCTGGACTGCCGACTGAGGAACTGGACACTCGCTCTCGAGCCTGCCGCTGGAGGGCGAGCTCTAGCAGCAACATCGTCCCGAGGCCCGGGGAGCCGGAGACGTTCTGGGACACCGCACTGCCGGTGAGCCGGGTCGGCCCACGTGCTCCGAACGGCTCTGCGGAGCTGGTCGGCAGATCATGCTCCCACTTCCTCTGTTGGTTCGTTGCAGAAAGCTTTTCTAGTACGCCGGCGGCCGGAACATCCTCGGCGGGCCCGGTGGTGGGAGATCTCGAGACGCGGCGGCCCGCGGTCGCTGCGCCCGCCGAATCGCGGCGCGCTTGATGCGTGGCCAGCGCGCCCGTGACCCGTGCCGACGGCCGCTCACCGGCGCTCCCGGGCGCCCGCGGTCTCCGCCGGCCCGCCCGTCGGCCTCGGGTGCGCCGGCTGACGACGGCCGCCAGTACGTCGGGTCGGCGTGCCAGACTCGGTCCGACCGCCGACAGCGCGCGACCCCCGAGACGGCTGGGCGATGGCGTCGTCGTCGGGCCGGCGGGGCTCGGCCGACGGGGCCCGGCCGGCGGGGCGGGCCCGGCCGAGGGCCTACTGGCGGTGCTCTGATGGCCAGGAGTAGGGCCGCCACACGGAAGGGTCGCCGGCGCCCGGCCGGCCGGCGTAGCGCGCGTCCAGGCCGGCCGCGTCGCCCGCCATCGTCTGCTGCTGCATCCATTCGGCCGAGTACTGCTGCTCGGGCCGGTACTGGGCGGCGGCGCGCTCCTCACCGTGCGTCGACACCAGCTGGCCCGGGTACAGGTGCGGGTACAGCATGAGCGGCGCCGCGCTCAGGTAGGTGGCCGCCGGCGCCGCCGCCGTCTGGTAGCCGCCGTACGGCGCGGTCGCGGCCGTCTGGTAGCCGCTCGCCGATGCGTCGCCGCGCGCCGCTGCCGCGAAGCCGTCGGAGCGCGGTGGCGAGCCGTCGCCGGCCGACGGCTCCGGCTCTGACTTGAAGCCGGGCGGTGTGAACTGGCCGACCGGCTGCGCCTGCTGCGGCGCCGCCTGCGCGCCGTGCTCGGACAGAACTGAAACGGTCGGAGAGAGCGGCGAGTTAGGCGCGCCGGCCACAGGCCATGGTGACGGGACACGGGCGGCGCGGCGGGCGAGACAGCGCCGCAGGGCCGGCGGGCGGCGCGGCATGCACCGGCGCTCTGGACCCCGAGCTCGTGCCGCGCCTGACACCGTGCTGGCCTGTTCGGCGCGCTCTTTCAGCGCGCTGTGCTGCCAAAACGTTCGCTGACCTCCCATAACGACAAACATAGGTGATACGCCGATGCTTTTAATGGTCGCTGATTGGGCGGAATGCGCCGTTTTGGAGTCGGCCGTCCATGGGCTGACTGGGCGCGCGGGCGGTGGCAGCCAGTGGCCTGGTCGGCCTGCCGGCGCGCGAGCTGGTGGAAGGCGCATCCGTTTGCCTGGAGCCGGAGCCGCACCGACAGGCAGCCGCTCCAGCGCCGGCATCCACGCCTACGCAATCCGTTTATGCAACATGTTAAGCACGAAAATTCTTCGGCGGGGGTTCTTAAGTGGCAGACGCCCGATAAAAAGCACTTGTAGACTGCACAGCATAAATTTAACCACCCTTCGTGTTAATGGTGGGAGAGATTCTGGATCACACATGCAACTGTTCTCGGTCTCTGGGGTTTCTTGGGAGCCGTCGGTGCGCCGGCGGCTTGGATAGTGATTCTGGGGCACGCGCGATGTTCCCGGGAGCAGCCGGCCGCTTCCCGCCAGCTGGACGTCTCCGAGACGTCCGCGGAGACAGCCGTCTGCCGTCCTCCCCCTTTCCGCCCCCTCCCCAGTTCCAGCAACACGCTCGGACACCCCTTCGTCGCAGGAAATATTACGGCAGCGCGCAAACTGAACCGGTGATTTTCGTTTGAATTATTCGTCGCGTAAGGAAACATTATGGCCGGGCGGCGGTAATTACGGACGCCGGCTCTATTCTCCATGCCGAGTGGATCGGCTAATGGGAGGGCGGCGAAACAGAGCGGCGGCCCGACGACACGACCCTGCGGAGCGCCTGGGACAGATGACGAACAACACGGCCCAGCGGAGCGCATGGGACGCAGGTGCGATAACACGATCTAGTGGAACGCGCGGCGCAGGATCGCGACAGCACGATCTCGTGGAGCGCATGGGACAGCAGGTTGAACGCAGCGCCTGGAGCCAGAACGCGGCGTCTGGAGCCACTGGACTCGGCCCACAATAATGCGGAGCGCGCACCACATGAACCTCCCCAACGCAGCGGTCCACGGAACGCCTGCACGCATCGATCCGTCACTGCAGGCGGCGCAGCGTGCACCCCTGCAGCTGTATCTTTAGCGAGACCAGAAATACCGCGGCTGACGCACGCCGCACGTTGAGTCACCACGCGCAGATATGAGCCATCGATGACACTTGGCTGGCGTCTGCGGTTTTCAGACGGCTCGGCGTTGGTGTCTGGGCGTCGCGGGAGCTCTCCCGCCATGCTGGCGCCCCAAGGCGCCCGACGAAGTGTGTCATGACGTGCGGCGCGTGTCGCATTTCGCTCACGCTGGCCGCGGGGCAGCGTAACGTTTCCGAACTGTACCGGTTTATGGTCATGTCTGCTCAACTCTTCTGACGTTAAGGCTTGGGTCCGCTTTGATTAATGTTTGGCGGGTCCAATGGCCACCCATAAGCATTAATCACTCTGGGCTAACAGCCTTCAGTGACGTCATGCGCCGAATGCGCTGGTGATGTCCATGCGGCGAATGCATTCGAATCGACCAGTGCAGCTGTCAGCCGGTTTAAATCATGCAGACGTATTTTGACATTTTTCGAAGTCACTGCGCTTAGATACGGACCCTGAGAAGCAAGGTTGCGTTTTCGGCTCTGCGTGATCGGTAATACCGTCCAAAGACGTCCACTAAACACACGCTTCGTAACTTGGTGTCGTGCTAACTCCGTGCGAGACAGCGCCCTCCACGCGGCCGTGCGCGCGGCCGCGTCTCGGGCGGTGCCGGTCACACTCGCCGATGGCTGACCGTCACGTCTGCCGACACGTGACCCCGACCACCCGGTGCGCCGCCGCCAGTCCAACCACGGCTACAACCGCGTTTTTCGAATCAGCCCGTCCGCCGCGGCGCGCACCTGGAAGTGCCTCCCTGCCCCTCTCTCTCTATAAGTGGCACGTCCGTGGATTGCGAGAGCGCGCGGCGGGAGTGTCCCGGCGTCATGAGAGGCGCCGCGTGACCGCGCCCATGCGAAACGCGGGCCATTTTCGGTGCGCTCCTGCCATGCGTAGCAAAACGACAAGCACTCTTACGGACGTAGGGCTCCGCGGGAACGCGGGGCCGACGGGTACGCGCGCATGCACTCCAAAAAATACGGAACACTGCTTCACTAAAACCACGTAAAATGCGCAACGTCCTGCGCAGCTCCACCGTCCGTCGGCGTGGGCCCGGACCTACTCTGACCCTGGTGCTGAGGGAGCTACTGCCTGCGCACGGTGACGAACTGAAGCATTCAGGACGAGGCCCAAACGGAACATCCATTCGGCTTCTACTCATGCTGCGCCCTTCCACTTGCCATCCGACGCGGGTGCGTCGGGATCAGCGTCGCTCCTCACACCGCGGGAGGAAGGAGATACTGGAACTGCATGAGGCAGCTGACTGTTGGCAATCCCCGCTGGCGCCGCCGGCCGGCCATACGCTGTTACCACCGAAGGCGTCGTTCCCCGCCAATTATGTGTCTGCTCATCGCGGCTCGACCTTGCAGCGTTCGTGTC